TAAACAATTAAATGCAATAATTAGATTTGAAAAAGGGGAGATTACTCTGGAGGTAGACACTCACCAGTACATTCAAAAAATGAATTTACTGATGTTCCCATAGAAGGAGAAATCAGTGAAGACATCATAGCTCAAGTGTACCCTGGAGTGTGGGCCACTGAGAAGCCAGAAAGAGCTAAAAGTGCATCACCGGTAGAGGTAAAGCTTAAAGAGGGACAATGACCGGTAAGGATAAAACAATACCCTTTAAAGAAAGAAGATAGGGAAGGAATCCATCTGGTAATAGAAAAGTTTTTGCAATGGTGCTTGTTAAGAGAATGTGAATCTGATTTCAACACTCCCATATTACTGGTCCAGAAGCCTGATGAGATGTATAGAGTGGTCCAGGATTTGAGAGCTGTCAATAAAATAGTAGAAAACTTATATCCTGTAGTAGCAAAACCATATATTTTGCTAACAATATTAACACCAGAACTAACTTGGTTTACTGTTTTAGATGTAAACGAAGCATTATTTTGCCTTCCTCTCCATGAAGCCCTTGGTGCAAGGAGAGGCAGACAGTCTGTCCCTCAGCCCTGCTGTCAGCTGCCCAGGGCTGTTGCCTCTAGGGCTGGAGGGTGATGGCACCCAGGGGTGCCCTGAGGAGAAACTGGACACTGTGGAGAGCTGGGGAATCCAGTTTCAAGGGCAAGATTCCACGTTCCTCTTACTGTCTCATCCTACCCAAGGCAGAGCTGGGCTCTCCCCTCGAAGCCAGGGGCACAGAGGGCTCATTGCAGTGCTAGCACACCCCTTGCAGCACCACTGCCCTGGCCTCAGTGCCGAGGGTCTGTGGGAACACAGAAGTGTCAGGGGAGAGCTATGTCCTTCAGGAACATAGCCTGAGCACAGCAGCAGCACCCAGGGAAATACCTGAGTGTCCCAAAGTTATTCCATCCTGAATGGAGAGTCCTGCAGGCTCATTGCTCAGAGCTCCCATCTGGGCTGGGAACCAAGGCAGCAGGAAGAGGAGGGAAAAAGGAGAAATTCCCCAGCACTGCTCTGGAGGCTGTACAGACACATGAGATGGGCATTGGGAGTGTCCTCTCATCAGGGAGATCTGCAGGGAGGTGACTCCTGCTGCTGACCCCCTGGCCTTTGAGACAAAGACTCTACTGGGTGAGGCAGAGATCAGAGACTTGTGCTGGGGAAGAAATCTGCAGTGCAGGGATGGCCCAGAGCTGCCTTAAGCCCCCTATCAGGCCATCTCAGCAGGAGCTCCCTCTCCCTGCCTGCCCAGGGCTCTTTTGTCTGGAGCTGTCCCTGCCAGCAGCTGCTCCCTGTGCCCAGGGCTGGGGTGTTACTGCCAGTGCTCCCCGAGCCCAGCCCAGCCCAGCCCTGGGGGCTCAGTTCTGCCCTGCAGACCCCTCCCAGCACAAGGCACTGCTCAGGGGCTGAGCAGGGGCTTGGGAGCAGCTCAGAGAGGCCACAATGAGAACTGGGGTGACAGTGCCTTCAGCAGAGTGCAGAAATAAATTCCCATCTCCCACTGCCCCCCCGCAAAGGAAATGGAGAGTGGAAAACTCCCAGTACAGACTCCTTCTCAGTCAGGTTAATGCTTCCTCGATGTCTTTCTCAAAAGGACCCTGGAGTGGTGTGGACCTGAGAGCAGCTCTGACCCCCTCCACCCACTCAGCTGTAGGAGAACTCTGCCCTGCCAGGGTCACACCTTCACCCAGAGCTGATCCCCAGAGCACTCTTGGCAGCTCCTCAGGAAGACTGAGAGCTGCCCCTGGCAGGAGCAGAGCCCCTGCCCTGACACTCAGCCCCTGCAATGAAGGGATCCTGCTCTGACAGAAAAGCCCTGGATAGCCCTGGCTGAACACCCGGCTTGCCAGCCCTGTAGCCTCCCCAGAAGGGACATTTCATGTCCTGTCCCTCTGATGGGGCTGCAGGAAGTCCCTGCTCTGGAGCTTGTCATTCTCCACAGAAATGGACCCTGAGAGCCACCCAGCCAGACCTGAGATGCAGCAAGAGGTGGGAGCTCTGGGAGAGCCTCCAGCACCCTCATGGATGGCCCTGGAGCCAGACACTCACTGTGCTAAGGACTGTGCAGGTGACTCCAGCAGTGACCTTGCAGCATTCTGGGCCTGCACAGAGCCTCTCATCTCTCTGTGCCTCTGTGCTGTGCCTGGGGTGGCTGCAGGCAGTGCCCCAGCCCTGCTGGGCTCTGCACAGGAGCTGCTCCTGGGCAGAGCTGTCTCTCTGCAGCACTGCCCTTGCCAGGAGCTGTCTCTGTGCCAGAAGCCCAGCCCAGCTCAGCAGCACAGACACAGCACAAGGACTTGTCTTGTGGATTGGGTGTTGAGTCCCTGTACATCAGTCCCTGATAGAGAGTTGAAGAAATCACTCAAGAATTCAAAGTCACAGTTAAACTCCAAAGTTTCTTGAAGTTTTAATGGGTCCCACAGAGGGACAAAACTGAGAAAGTGTCCCCAAGTTCCAGTTAGAGCAGAACACTGGCTGCAATGATGATAGGTGGGGACAAACAAGGGAAAGGTGTCTCTGGTGCTGAGCAAACCTGGATGTGTTTCAGGAATGCAAAGGGCCAAGGGCTGAGCCCCAGCCCCTGGCAAGGCAGATCCTGTCCCTCCCTCATTGCTCAGGGCTCTTCCTGGGGCACTGGGCTGTGAGGATGTGCAATGCCAAGAGGAGATGAGAGACTGCCCACAGGTGGCCCAGGCTAGCAGATGAGACAGTACTGGCTGATTTTGTCTGGAAGATCTCCTTGGATACACAGAATATTCCAATTGGTATTGAAATACCAATTTTGGGCATGGATGCCTGGAGGAGAAGGATGGTTCTTTTCATAGGAAGGAAAGCATGGAACAGTGGTGTATCAGGGGCAGATGAAAGGCGGCCATCATGGGCCAAGGCCAGCCAGAGCTCTCTTTTCTGATAGCTTCTGTGTGAAAGAAACTCTTGGATAAAGGGAATTTTGGAGGTGGAATCCCCATTCATCCATTTCTGCATTGATAAGAAGGATGGCTCTTTTCTATAGGAAGAAAAGCACAGACCCCAGATGTTTCAAAGGAAGGAGACAGGTGACTCCTGGGAAGCCAAGACAGGCCTATTTGTCCTGGCAGCTTTCATCATGGAGAAGTTCTTGAATATACAGTATTTTGGTGGCTGGGTCTCAATTTTTACCACAGATGCCTTGATGAAAAGGACGGTTCTTTTCCATAGGAAAGCAAGCACCGAGCCCCACTGTTCCAAAAGCAGATGAGAGGCAGCCCCCAAGAGGCCAAGGGCAGCCAGACCTCTGTCCTGGCAGCTTTCACTTGGAGCAATCCTTGGATGTACAGAGTTTTGGAGGTGAAATCCCAAATTTGATAATGGGCCCCTGGTCGAAATTGATGGGTTTTTTCCATCTGAAAGAAACGTGCAAAGCCCAAATGTTTTGGAAGAAGATGAGGGGTGGTCACCATAAGCCAAGCCAGCCAGACATCTATCCTGGCAACTTTCATCTGGAGGCTGTCCTCGGATATAAGGATTTTTGGAGGTGGAATCTCAGTTTTGGCTGTGGGCACCTGACCGGGAAGGAGAGTTCTTTTCATTAGGAAGGAAAGAATGGAGCCCCAGTATTTCAAAGGTAGATGAGAGCCAGCCCTCAGGAAGCCACGGCCAGCCAGATCTGTTTCTCCTGGCAGATTTCATCTGGGAACAATCTTTGCATATAAGGAAATTTAGAAGAAGAATGCCAATTTTTGCCATAGACACCTCAATGAGAAGGACAGTTCTTTTCCATAGGAAGGAAGGCACAGAGCCCCAGTGCTTCAGCGGCAGATGAGAGGCAGCCCTCGATCTGCCAAGGTCAGCCAGACTTGTCAGGTGGCCCCCGGGAGGCCAAGCCAACCAGACCTGTTCCATGTTCCCTTGGTTCCATTGGGCCCCACAGTGTCAAAATGTTTTCCTTGCTTCTGAAGTGTCACAATGCCCCCGTTCTTCCATGACCCCTTGTGGTGTCACAATGGGTTCTTGGTACCACAATGCCCTGAAGTGTCTCCATGGCCCCTCAGCTCCATGTGGTCCTGCTGTGTCAAAGGCTCCTCTGTGACACTCTGGGCTACACTGTGTCACAATGGCTCCTCCGTGACACTCTGGGCTCCACTGTGTCACAATGGCTCCTCCATGACACTTTGGGCTCCAGTGTCACAATGGCCCCTTGGTTCCATAAGGTTCTATAGTGTCACCATGGTGTCCTTGGACCCGCATTGTCACAACTGACCCATGGTTCCATGAGGTTCTGCAGTGTCACCATGGTAGCTGTCAGAGGCTGGATGAGACCAATATCCCAGACACTTTGGGATGCTCGGAATGCCTGTGTGGGGCCAGGGGCAGGACAGGCCTTAGTTTGTGGTGGGACAGAGCCCCGCCCCCAGCCATGGCCTGGCACAGCTGCCAATCACACAGCAGGGGCAATGCTAACCCAGCTCTGATTGGCTGAGCTGTCAATCAATCACACAACAGGTGGTGCTTACTCTGACTCTGATTGGCCAAGCAACCAGAAGTCCCACCTAAGGGGTGGGCCCACAACAGCCAAGGGGTTTAAAACATGGAACACGTGCTCCACCCATATTTGGGACCCTGCCTTGTCCTGGAGTTTGTGTCTCACCCACGCTGGATCCCTAGAAGTTGGTAGCTATATGTGTGTCTTTCTCTATCTCTTCTGTCTTTCTCTATCTCTTCTGTCTTTCTCTATCTCTTCTGTCTTTCTATCTCTCTTCTGTCTTTCTATCTCTCTTTTTTCCTTCAACTTTAAATTCTATTTACCTTTTGGATAAAAAGCAGTTTTGGGTAACTTAACAACTTAAATGTTTGAAGGTTTCTAGGTTAAATGGACTAAGTTAATGAAGTTACTGATATGAGAAATATTTTATGTTGAATTGGATGTTGCATTAAGTGCTTTGCCAATGTTCCTTGATTGTCTATATTTTGCCAGTAAAATTTTGTGTCACTTTGACCTCTTAGCTCAGTTGGTTACAGCAAGGTGCTTGTATCACCGAGGCTGTGGGTTCAATCTCTGTGTGGGCCATTCATTTAACAGTTGGAATTGATGATCCTTGTGGGTCCCTTCCAGCTAAGAATATTCTTTGCATCTGTACATCTTTCTCCTGTGAACTGAATTCGAGTAAAGGAACCTTTGGTTACACCCAGCATTTCAGAGTTCTGGAGTGTTACAGCCCTGCAGGCTCACAACGGCCTCTTGTTTCCATGAGGCCCTGCTTTGTCACACTGGCCCTTGGTTCCATGAGCATCTGCAGTATCACACTGATTTCAGGAATCAGGCCTTGACACCGAAATTGTAGAGAGTATGTTTTATTGCCAGCTGGGACACATGGGGGGATATTTCCTCCAAACTATGTGTACCTGGTCAAGACAGGTTCCAGGTATAAATACACATTAATCCCACAAGCCCACATCTCCCTGCCTGCCCCTTTCCACCTTCTCCCGCTTCGTATTATAATTAGCAGCCACATTCTCCTGATGGTTGTCTTTGGTGGTCTTTGGGATGAAGGCTGTGTGTCTTCCTCGGTGATCACTCTTTGACCCCTGCTTCTGGGCAGGCACAGTGGAGGTCTGGCTCTTCTTCAGGTCTGCTTGTCATACTCAAAACCACTCGTCTGGTCCTGGCTGGTTTTTGGACCTACAGGTTTCTGCTTCGTTGAGCTTATATAATACCTAGGTCTTGCTTTGCTGAGTTTTTGCAATATATCTTATCTTAATGTTTTTTTCTAGCAACTAAGTTCCTATGTGGTTTGTTATATATGTTTCTGCTATGTGTTCTATTTCCCCTCCACTTGCTTAAGCATATTATATGCTTCTAAAATCCTGAATTTTCAAAACCATATGTGCTCCCCATCTCAATGCCCGCCTTTTCTTCTAAATGATGCAAATTCTTTTGCTTTCTAAGGTACTTATCATACTGGCTACGACTACCTTTAACCAATTGATTAGATAACACGATAGACATTGTAGCCCTTCTTTGTGACAGTTTCAAATTCCAAAGAATCATAACCAAGAACAAAACAAAACTTAAACTAACCACAATTAACAAAGCTACTGTAGGATGACACAATTGGTTTAGAAACCCTGTTGCATTAGGAGACCACCCAAAAAGCACATCCTGCCAGTGGTGAATTGCGTCTCCCTCCAACCTTTTAAAGTTTTCCTTATAGTCTCTGTGTCATGGTGTATTGTGATCAAGGTCTTCTTTCCCATATTTCTAATTTCCTTAAAAATTTCCCGAAGATTTCCATGTTTCAGTAGCTGTTTGACTAGGGTGAGATTCATTCCTATGGGCACAGGCAACATATCCTGCACAGTTGTCAGGTTTACCTTCATATACTAATGTGATATAACAGGTGCCCAATAGGAGAAATTGCATCCCTCAATTTTGACAATGTTACAAATACACAAATTAGATTGCGTCTCATTTATAACGAGCGCGTCCACTATTATAGCGGGGCACGCTGTTCTGAGGCAAAAATAATCCTATATACACGAGCAAGGTTTTCTGGTTAACTGAATGGATCTCGAAGTGACAAATGCTCTGTTCTGTATCCAGGCAGATGTTTTGGTCATAATTTACATTTACTTCACATATAAACCCCAGTTGTTTTCTTGTGGCACATAGCTCTATGTTAATAGTCTGGCACTGCGGGACCTCATGGAACCATGGGTCAAGTGTGACATTGTGGATACAAGAACACCATGGTGACACTGCAGAATGTTATGGATCCAAGTGGCCATTGTGAAACTGTGGGGCCTCATGGAACTGAGGAGTCCATTGTAACTGGTAGGGAAGATGCCTTTACAGACAATTCATTGGGTGAAAGTATGCGTGTTAACATCTTTGAAATGAGTTTTAATGTCTCTATTAACTTCAAGCAGCAGGTTTATTATAGAGCCCAGAGAGCTTGGCTCCTGAAACAGGCAAGTGGGTCTGCACAAGCTTGAGTTTATGAACTTTGGGGTTAAATGCCAGGTTCAAGAGGGGATGATTTGGCAGGCGGTTTGGGAAGGCTGTACCTTCCTAGCACCTCAGCCAAGGGGAAGAGGGCAATGTGCGGCCAGGACTTTAGGATAAAAGGGGGCTGTGGCCCCTGGAACCATGGCCCCTGGTGGACTCTTTCCCTTTATTCAAATAAAGTTGCAGACTCCTCTGTCTCCTTTATGGACACTGGCTTTTCATAGCATGATTTTCCGTCCAGGACACTATGGAATGTCATGGAACCAAGGAGCCACTGTGACACACCAAAGCCTCATTAGAACAAAGGAACCACTGTTGACAGTACAGAACCTCATGGAACCAAGGGGCCATTGCGACAATGCAGACCCAAGGACACCATGGAGACGCTCTGGAACCTCATGGAACCAAAGAGACTATTGTGACACTCTGGTGCCTCATGGAATCAGGGGGACCCTTGTGAAACACAGGACCCCTATGGAACCAAGGGTCAGTGATGAAGCTGTGGGGGCCTGTAGAACCAAGGAGCCATTGTGACACAGCGGGGCCACATGGAGCCCAGGGGCCATGGGGACACTGCAGGACCTTATGGAAGCAAGGGGCCATTGTGACACTACAGAAGCAAGGAGAATATTTTGATAAGGAGAATATTGTGACACTACAGGGACTCATGGAATCAGGGAGAACATTGTGACACAGTGGGGCCCCATGGAACAAAAGGGAACATGGAACAGGTCTGGCTGGCTAGGCCTCCTGGGGGTCCCCTGGCGGGTCTGGCTGACCTTGGCATGTCGAGGGCTGCTGCTCATCAGCCCCTGAAGCACTCGGGCTCTGTGCTTTCCTTCCTGTGGAAAAGAACAGTCTTTCTCCTCCATGTGCCCATGGCCAAAATTGGGATTCCTTCTCCCAGTTTCCTTATATGTAAAGATTGTTCCCAGATGAAATCTGTCAGGACAGACAAATCTGGCTGGCTTGGCCTCCCAGGGGCCACCTCTTATCTGCATTTGAAACACTGGGACCATGTGCTTTTCTTTCCTACAGGAAAAAAGTACCTTTCATGTCTAGGCACCCATGGCCAAATGTGGGAATCCACCTCCAGTTTTCCCTATATCTAAGGACAGCTCCCAGACAAAAGCTGGCTGCCATGACTGAGAAGTCTGGCTGGCCTTGACTTCCTGAGGGCTGGCTCTCATCTCCTTTGAAACACTGGGGCTCTGTGCTTTCCTAATTAAAAGAACTCTTCTTCCTGGCCAGGCATCCACAACCAAAAATGAGATTCTACCTCCAAAGATCCCTATGTCCAAGGATAGCCCCTAGATGAAAGGTGCCAGGAGAGACAGGTCCAGATGCCTTGGCCCATGGGTGGCCACGTCTCGTCTCCTTCCAAAACACTTGGACTTTGCACTTTTCTTTCCTATGGGAAAACCATCCACCTCGACTAGGCACACATGGCCAAAATTCATATTCCATGTCCAAAACTTTGTATATCCAAGGATTGCTCCCAAGTGAAAACTGCCAGGACCAACAGGTCTGGCTGCCCTTGGCCTCTTGGGGGATGGCTCTCTCCTGCTTTTGAAACATTGGGGCTTGGTGCTTTCCTTCCTATGAAAAAAACAATCTCTCTCACCAATGCAGAAATGGCCGAAATTAGGATTCCATCTCTGAAATTCCCTATGTCCAAGGATTGCTTTAACACAAAAGCTGTCAGAACAGTGAGGTCTGCCTGGCCTTGGCCTCTGATGGCCACCTTTCATCTGCCCCTGAAACACCGGTGTTCCGTGCTTTCCTTCCTATGGAAAAGAGCCGTCCTTTTTCTCCAGATATCCATGTCTGAAATTGATATTCCACCTCTAAAATTCTGTATATCCAGGGATTATTCCCATCGGGGATTACTCCCAGACAAAATCTGTGAATACCATCAAGTCTGGCTACTCTTGGCCTCTGGTGACTGCCCCTCATCTGCTCCTGCAGCACTGGGGATCGGTTGTTTCCTTCCTCTGGGGACCATTGTAACACTTTGGAGACATCGTGGAACTAAGGGGCTGTTGTGACACTGGAGAGTACCATGGAACAGGTCTGGCTGGTTTTGCCTCCCGGGGGCCACCTTACAGGTCTGGCTGATCCTGGCATGTTGAGGGCTGCCTCTCATCAGCCCCTGGAGCACTGGGGCTCTGTGCTTTCCTTCCAGGGGAAAGGAACTGCCCTTCTCACCTATGTGTCTGTTTCGGCATATGTTTATTTTCAGTTTATTGTTATAATGGTTTGTTCCTTTGTACCCCTATGTTTTCCCCAGATGGTTTGTCCCAAAGTTGCATCCACCCCTGCAATTACCTTGTTTGGCATTCCCCGCCCCTTGTCCATTATTGTAACCCTGCCCCTTGTTCCAGCACCTTCCTTGTCAGTCTTACCCAGGGCCAATCCCTAGTTGTTCCACCCCTCTGGAAATCTCCTATTACTGGATGCTCCATTGGCCCATGTGACCCTTTCTCCTCTCCCTGCTTCCCTCATTGGTTAAGACTCTGTAAGACCCTGCCCTTTACTCCTCCCCTAAGGATCTCTTATTGGTCAATTGATCTGCCCCTGTATTTAATCCTGAGTGCAGGAGTGCTTGGGGCTCTTTGCCCCTGAATCCTCCAAACTCAATAAACTCTTTGGAACCTCAGAAGTAGAGAGCCTCCCTTGCCTCCTTTGCCCAACCCTGGACATCGACCACACTGAAGAGCAACTAGTTCTAAAGGTTCTGCCTCCAGGAAATTTTACCCTGGGGCAGTTGCTCACACCTGGCACAGTGCCAGTGTGCCTCTAAAGAGCTAGCCCGGGCTCTGGTGGGCCATGTCAGGTATCAAGGGCCAAAACTGGGATTCTACATCTAAAATTGCATCTATCCAAGGATTGCACCCAGAGAAAAGTACAGACAGGTCTGGCTGCCTTGTCTTCTGGTGATTTTCTTAGACAATGAGAAGAATGTTTTAATTTGCCAACACCTTGGAGAGGGCCGAGAGATCTCCCAAAGCGGAGTTTGGAGGCCTCAAGCACATGACCACTATATAAGGACAAAGAAGCTC